GGTCTTGCGTTCATCTTTCCCCCTCCTTCTGGCTTTGTTTTATGTCGCGTATCACTCATGTCCTCCCCCTCCTCCTCCTCCTCTCTCCCTCCCTTCTCCTCCTCCCCCCTTCCTCCTCCTCTCCCCCCCTCCTCCCCCGTCCTCCTTTCTTCTCCTCTGTGCTCATTTTGTCCCTCGTCTTTTCCCTCCGTTTTTTCATCTTTCCCTTTCGTCTTTCTTTTTCTCTCTCCTCTCTTCAGCTCTCTCGCTCTCTCTCTCTCTTCTCTCTCTCTCTAATTAGAAGGCATGATCTTGTCGACCGCCAGTTCCGGAGATGACGGCTATTAAATTTCTCAAATTGAGGATCTCTGTCTTGGGGTGTGTTCCGCTAATTTTTATCAAGAATTGCGGTGGTACAAAAAAATTGGCGGTAACAAGTTTTGGCGGTAATTGGCTGTACACTAGTTTTGGCGGTAATTGGCGGTACACAACTATTTTTTATTTCAAATTTGGTGAAGAATTTCGATGTCACCCTGAGGCAAAAGTTGTTTGCGTAGCATAGTTTTTTTTTCAGGTTTTTTTTTTTTTTTTTTTTTTCCCAGCAAGGTATAACCCGGGCGGTCCGACTGGTAGAGCCTAGTGGTATACAAGTTTTGGCGGTAATTGGCGGTACACAAATTTTGGCGGTAAGTTTTGGCGGTAATTGGCGGTACACAAGTTTCGCCGGGAAATAAGTTTTGGCGGTAAATGGCGGTACACAAGTTTTGGCGGTAATATCAAATTGGCCGAGAATGGCGGTGTGCAAATTGGCGGCTAATTACCGTCTTCCCCCGAATATAACGTAGTCTTATTTATAGCTGTATTTGAGGCGACTTTCAGTGTAGATACAGCGATGATGGCGATACGTTCTATTCGGGGGAAGACGGTAGGGGGTTCGAGGGGGGTCAGGGTGGGAGGAGTACTAAGGGGCTCAAAAACAGGTGTAAAAAACCCTTGATCGAAATTGGCGGGTCACAAGAACTGCGGGGTTCCAGTGAAGCCGCAAAGAGGACAATGGGACTCGCTCCACTGCACAACATTCGACATGTATTCGGACGCCCTTTTCGCCTGGGTGCATTCGGAGGAGCTCAGCATTTTGAATGTATCTGGACGGTTATTAGCTCCAGATACATGTAAGAGTGTATTGTAGCGGAGGGACGCCGAATGTCGATGAAGATTGGTAACGAAGGCAGAGGTCTGACGTGAGGAACAGGAGGATGGAGAGGTGGATGACAACAGGGTAGGAGGATCGCAAGGGACCGAACAGGGTGATGAGGAATGAGAATAGGATGACAAGGAGTGGGAGAAGGAGAAGGTGCAAATGTATGATGATAATGATGATGACGAGGAGGAGGAGGAGGAGGAGGAGGAGGAGGAGGAAGAAAGAGGAAGAAGACAGAGGATGATGAGAAGAGGGAGAAGGGAAGAGAGATGTGTGAAGGATGTCAGGGAAGAGGAGGAGGAGCAGAATGTTGCAGGTGAAGAAGGTGCAAATGTATGATAATGATGATGATGATGACGAGGAGGAAAAGGAGGAGGAGGACGAGGAGGAAGAGGAGGAGGAAGAACGAAGGGAGGAGGAGGAGGAGGAGGAGGAAGAACAAAGGGAGGAGGAGGAGGAGGAGGAAGAAGACAAGAACAAAAGGAGGAGGAGGAGGTGGAGGACGAAGAACAAAGGGAGGAGGAGGAGGAGGAGGTGGAGGACGAAGAACAAAGGGAGGAGGAGGAGGAGGAGGAGGAGGAGGAGGAACAAAGGGAGGAGGAGGAGGAGGAGGAGGAAGAACAAAGGGAGGAGGAGGAAGAAGACCAAAGGGAGGAGGAGGAGGAGGAGGAGGAGGAGGAGGAAGAGGAACAAAGGGAGTAGGAGGACATGATATGATGAAAAGAGAAGGGAGCTGGTAACGGAGATGTAAAGGGATGTCAAGAGGTTAGGAGGCGTGGGGAGGAGGAGAAGCAAATAGACGACGAGGAAACCGAAGAAAGACGAGGAGCAAGAAAGAGGAGAAAGACAGTACCAGGAGGAGGCCCTCCTTTAACAGTACCAGGAAGAGCAGTACTTGCTGAAAGACTGATCTGCAAAACCAGTATTTTTTTCTCTCTTTTTCTTTTTCTCCCCCTCGCCCCCCCTTTTTTTCGTTCCTTTTTGGTTGGGAGTCATCATTTCGTGCAAAGCCAGTCTTAGTACGAGGAGGAATGAGTGAGATAYKTTTTTTTTTTTTTTTTTTTTTTTTTATTTTAACAGAAACTCATGCATCATGCGGGAGATGGTCAATTGAAGGCCGAAAATTAGATACAGATTTGCAAGATGATCGGAATGCGCATAATAAATAAACCATGTTAAGCACAGATCCCAAACAACTTCCGTCCACACGCGAGGGAGCTCAAGATGAGCATCCTGCTCTCCACACATTTCCAGTCCCGCGGCGCATGGAGGGTTGGTACAGCGGCGAATCAATTTAGTTTTATTTACCGTTGTTTTTTTTGTTTTTTTTTTTTTTAAACAAACCGACCGCATCAGATAGGAGGGCTGATAAAAGCATACCCTCCTACCTACTATCGGGGTGTACTGCGTTCTACTTTGTAATGCTTGTTGTATGATTTTGTGCACGTGACTTTATTCTGCCAAGCTTCACTGGCTTCTCAATCAAGCAACCTCTTTTTATCCTTTACGGAGGACATGAGGCGCGCTCACACTAGGACATAGCAAACCTCTGGACGTGATCGGAGTCGCTTTTCTCAGCCCACCACCACTTGAATTGTTCTGTCCAGGCTGGGTAGTGCCAAGCGTGACTGCTGGCGGTGGTGCTAGCGGATTGTGATGGATACATGAAAATCCTGGAGGCGGTCGCGAGATGCCCGCTGGTCGGATATTCACTGCTCTTGGAGCAGTTGGCCGGGGTCCCAACGGACCCTGATGGCTTGGATCAGTTGGCCGTGGTCCCAATGGACGTGGTCCCAACGGACCCTGATAGCTCGGTCTTGAGGATTGAGATCGGTCTGGTTGTTGCACTGCTTGGGCGTTGTTGTTGTTGTCCTGTCATCTCTGACGTCCTCTACGGCAACCCGCTTCTGTGTGGAAGAAAGCGCGACATCGAGATCGGTCTGGTTGTTGCACTGCTTGAGCGTTGTGCTTGTTGTCCTGTGATCTCTGGCGTCCTCTACGACAGCTCGCTTCTGTGTGGAAGAAAGCGCGGCATCGAGATCGTTCTGGTTGTTGCACTGCTTGAGCGTTGTCCTTGTTGTCCCGTGATCTCTGACGTCCTCTACGACAGCCCTCTTCTGTGTGGAAGAAAGCGTGGCATCGACGACGGACGACGCCTAGGGGTGTCCTATGATGCTAGCTTTACTTCCGACAGGTCTCTCGCAAAACTGTCAACCCAAATCTTGTCCTTCGTATTGGGACGGGGTGTTGGATCGACATCAAAATCGATGTCGACAAGGGAGGGCTTCACGCGATCAGGCTCTCCGGCGGGTGAGTGTGTGAGACCGGTCCGATGGCACGGCAGGCATGTGACTCGAGGCAGAAGAAGGCATCCACAGGAACTCGAACTGCCATGACCCAGAAGGTCGATTCGATTTCTTCCTGTCTCTGTGCTGGAAGCTGGGTTCGAGTAAGGCACGACTTAAAAAACTCCAGTACTTGGCCCAGCTGTCGGCCGTGGAGAAAAATAGAGTAGCAACGTTTTTAGTCGGATGAATGTAGGTGCTCCTGTAGTGGCAAGTACGTTTCCTAAAATCGTGGCTTTTGTTAACGGGCACAGCTTTAGGAAGTACTGGTGGTTTGAACCACCAGTACCTTTCCCAAGCAAATTGGTGAAACGCGCCGGTTAAACCACCTGTACCTTGGCCAGCCAAAAAAAAACAAGTCGCGGCCGTTAATGCACCGCGACTTTAGGAGGTCGAAAGTCCATGAAATAATAATGAATAAAAAAACAAAACAAATACAAAAACGAAAACAGTTATACAAAAGGAAAAACAAGAAAACTAAGCAAATCGACGTCGATAGAAGGGCGCAGAGAGAGAGAGAGAGAGAGAGAGAGAGAGAGAGAGAGAGAGAGAGAGAGAGAGAGAGAGAGAGAGAGAGAGAGAGAGAGAGGGAGACACATGCACAGTTGCCAGGTCTCCCTCTCTCTCTCTCTCTCATGCTACAGTCGCCAGCTCTCTCTCTCTCTCTCTCTCTCTCTCTCTCTCTCTCTCTCTCTCTCTCTCTCTCTCTCCCTTCTTCCATCTGTGTGCGTGACGAACGGTTTTTTTTCCCCTTCTTTCATTCTTTTCTAAACATGAATCTTGTTTATTTTTTTGTTTTTTCTGTTTTTTGTTTTTGTTTTTTGTTGCACTACCGGTAGCCTTAGGTTTGGCGAGGTTCGGCCCACTGGTAGCCAGAAGGTTGGAAAAGAAGTAGCTCTAGATACTGGTGCTTTCACACGGCGGCCTCACCCGGGCCGGTGCAGATGCGGCCCAAGAATTCGGCGTGCAGGGACCGCAGCCGACATATGGCAAAGGTACTTGTGGTTTAAAAGCTCCAGACGGTAATCCGTGCTTGCCAGGTTCACTCTGTCATTTCCTTGATTTATAAGCCATTCTACATTCACTCTACCCCTATGAAAGGCGCTAGGATCGAAATTCCCATCTCTTGTCTTCATGCCTTCATAGTCATGGGTTCAATCTCCAGGGCCGCCTGCCGACCGACCAACTGAGAAACGCTGGATCCTCCCAGATGGTATTAGTAGGGTCTTCAGCCAACACGGGTGTGAGTGCGAGTGTGAGTGGGTTTGGTGTGGTGTGTGGGAGAGTGTGGGAGAGTGTTGGCTTTAGACCCTACTGTTACCCGATGGGGGGGGGGAGAAGATGAAAAGGGGGAGGCCCAGTTAGTGCCAAATGCTGTTGGCTGGGGCCCCCACAGGCGGCCCCAACCCTGCACCCTAAACGCGAGGGAAAAGGGTGAAACATACCGTTATCTCTCTCCCCCGAGAGAGGTAGGGGGCGGGGGGGAGATGAAAAGGGAGAGGCACAGTTACTGGCAAATGCTCGGTCCTTAGTGTTAGCTGGGAGCAACCACCGTCGTGCCCAACCCTGCACCCTAAACGCTAGGGGAAAGGGGGAAACGTGCCGTTATCTCTCACCACCAAGAGAGGTAACCTCCCTTCACCAAAGAGAGGTAGAAAGCTATGCTTGCAGGGGTCCCCTGTATATCCTTAGGAGTAGTGGTAGGTAGGTATTCTGGATGCTACGGGGTTCCCTGTATGTCTACAACCAGGAGTAGTGTAGGTAAGTAGTGTGAGGTGAAATTGAGAGAAGAATTTAGTTAAAAAAAATAAATGAAAAAAATGAAAAAGATATGTTCCTTGACATGGCAGAAGCCAGTTAAAATTGAGAGAATAATAGAATATATACACGACAGTCTGTAGAGTTTTCCATCTGGTGTGGGTGAGTGATAGTCTACTTTGATTTTGGTTAAGGTGGAGTATCACTTACAGTGTAATCAGTGAGGGGATTCTACAGACTGTTGAGGGTTCAGCCTCCTGATGAGTCGGTGAAACTCCGACGAAACAGTTTGTCACAGCCCCTCGTTTGTTGTCCTCTTCTCCCTCTCTGCCTACGGTTTACCGGGCAGTTCTATTTGACGATATATATATATATATATAGTCACACGGTTTACCGGGCAGTTCTGTTTGTGACGATATATATATATATCCCCTCGTTTGTTGTCCTCTTCTCCCTCTCTGCCTACGGTTTACCGGGCAGTTCTATTTGACGATATATATATATATATATCGTCACAAACAGATATATATATATTCTATTTGACGATATATATATACCTCCTGACGAGTCGGTGAAACTCCGACGAAACAGTTTGTCACAGCCCCTCGTTTGTTGTCCTCTTCTCTCTCTCTGCCTACGGTTTACCGGGCAGTTCTATTTGTGACGATATATATGACGATATATATATATATCCCTCTCTGCCTACGGTTTACCGGGCAGTTCTATTTGACGATATATATATATATCTGTATGTGACGATATATATCTGTTTGTGACGATATATTATATACACTATTATACAGCTGTTCCCCGATGAGGAGAAGACGTAAAAAAAAAGGAAAAAAAAGAAAAAAGAAAAGAGAAAACGTTCCGTTAGTCAGTTTACCTTGGCCTGATCTATTATATTAGGTTTACTTTGTAACTAACCTCCCGACCTTGAAGTCGTTTCCGCTGTATTGATTTCTGAAGGGAGAATCCCTTCTTCATAACATAATCGAATCAATTCCCGAACCCTGTGGTCATCCTCATTTCCCCCCCATTGGCCCCTCTTGGAACGTGTGGAGGTCATTTTGCACCTCTTGCCTCTTCAGCTTCAACCGCCAGTTTGTTTCTGCCATTCTCAATTCTAACATGAACAATTGATCGTGGTACGGAGGAGAAAGTACCTCTTGGTTACACAAGCTAACCCTAAAATACTTTGTTAACTATGGAAGCTCGTTCGGCTGTAAAGGCAGTCTCAAACCACCAGTACACCCGAGGCTAAATGTACGAGCCTAAATTTGAATTTTGTGGAGCCTACAAGCAGTGGATACAACCGCTGGGAAAATTCAGAGAGCAGTACCGGTAGCACCTTCTGTGTTGGGACCAACCGCCAGCAGATGGGACAAAAAGGAGGCTGTAGATTTCGTGTTTTCACTCGTACCCCACCCCAGGCCTGACTGTAATTGCGGTCAGATACGTTCCAGAAAGTGGTAGCGTGAGCACTGAATGGATTCCTCCTCGCCTCTCATGGCGAGGAGGGATGGCAGAAAGGGCATCCTCATTATAAAAGGAAAAAAAAAAAAATTCTTTTACTAAGCTCTTGGATGTGATTGTGGCCACATATCATAGTTGTGGCGCACGTCGGTGCGCGGATTTGCGCACGAATTGCGCACCACACAGCGCAGCGCACTTGAAATGTTAGGTCCAAAAAAAAAAAAAAAAAAAAGTAGGGGTTTTGTAATTTCTTAGGGCCCCCAACTCGGCAAAAATGTTAAACTCACCGCGCAAGCTCGCAAACCGGCCGCGCCCGCCGCCCGAACTTTTCTTTTAGGTAAGGGCTGCCAAAATTTTGATTTCCGCAGGCCCTCCCCCCAAAAGTTTGAGAATGGCGAAGCACAAAATAGGGCTCATTCCAACTTTTTTTTTTAGGCGGGGTATGAAAGCTGTCCTTCCCGCTCCCTTCTGCAAATCCCACACGGTAGTGGGGTAAGTTGGCAAGAAGGGGCAGTCGCCTAATAACGATCTGGCCCGCTAAACTTTGCAGAAGTCACAAATTGCGTGTTCCATGGGCAGCCGGCCACCAATATATGCTGAA